CAGGTTGGCTCTGGCTAAAACAGAGTTAGGAACAGAATCAATCAACAGAGCTCTTCATACCCTTCAGCAGAACATACCCCTACTTATTTATTGATGCTGTAGCAACATCAGCCACTACGGTCCCATCCTGCAGATTCTTCCATTGGAGAATAGCCCCCTGAGTGTACAGAGCAATTAACTACCACAATGGAGGAGCTGATGAATTTGCATGTACAGTAAGGCCTTGGCAAGGGATAGCAGAGACAACAGACTCCTTCCAGCCTTCTTCTGCACTACACCTTGCATATCTCTGCTGGCAGCGCCAAGCTTTGCACTAACGATTAGGATTATCAGAGACAGAGATAATTTACCTATTAAGAACAATTATGGGTAACCTCAATGCCAACGGGCAAATGTTCCAAATCAGATTGAAAATCCTAACTTTTATCCAATATTAATCTTCCTACTCCATTTTTAAATGCCCCATTTTGTCTATGCAGAAACGTATATAAACTTGGGTTTAAAAGTCACAATGCTCAAAATTTTAACACAGTTAAAAAAACACAAATTGGACACTCAAAATACAGACACTGACTGAGAAAAGCAAACTGAAAACCTTCAAAAGATGAAAATACTCCAAGGGGGTATATACCTGGTCATCTCTTCCACATTCTGGCACAGCAAATTGTTCCAGCAGGTATGATGCATTACAGACTTCATTCCCCAGACTAATTTTACATATTCACAGAAAGATATCACATTACTCTACAGCTTAAACTGACAGGAAGTTTTTCCTGATCCACTCTGAAGTATTTAATTCCCTGACTCCTAGTCACCTCTGCCCTTTTGTACCTCATTAACTAATTCCTCTACAGCTTCACAATTTACACTCTTTAAATGTGCTTAATGGCTGTTGTACTCAACAGCTGCTGCTTAGCTAGATATATTCAGCTTTTCTAATAGAGCTAAGTCTATCAATGTACATCTGTGCACATCAAGATACCTCTAGCTGATTGTAGTGCTCCCTCTACTTCATGAGTATTGTTCCAGCAGGGATGCAGGCACATGAACCCTCCAGCAGCCCTCCCTCAGGCTCAGTGTGGACTGGGATGAAACAAATGTTGGTACATGTAGCCCAAAATAGTTCTGGCCTTTATTTCACACCATCGATTACTTTTTGAAGTTCACTTTCTAGCCTCTTACAGGTTTATTTTAAGGGTTTTTAATAGCTTATTCCTATGAAACATAAACAGGTCCAAATACCTTTAAAATACTTAGAAAAGCTTTATCTATACAATAGATCTTTGCATCATTTTGGGACACCCCAGCATAATTGCATGCAATTTTCCACCCAATATGCTTCGACTCAGTGAAGCAAAGCCTAAACATATTTACTCATCTTCATCTAGTCTTTTGGTCAGATTGCTCAAGAAACTCTAAGAAAACTCAACTATAATTTTCTGTATGTTACTTTTACTAAAAATTTCTACCATTCTGGGGCCTTTCATTTGAAGGCCCTGGTATACTTAATTTTGCTTCAGAAGATCAGGAAAGCAAAGAAAATTTCAAAACTATTTCACCCAGCTTTTTGGATAGCAGTACCAAGTTTTGAGGGCAAACAACATCATGCAACAGGAGAGGGAAAAGAAGAGCAGATAATGTAATAGTCTGTTGAATTGCAGTGTAATCCTGATAGAGAATTAAGGGATTTGGAATGGGCCAGAACACTGGAATTAACATCAGTACTTTTCTCAAAAAAAAGCTGTGAAATCCTACCACCAGCCAGAACAGGTCAGAACTTCTCTTTTATATCACATCCACTACAATCAGCATGGCAACACTGTCAGCCTGAGCTGACTGAATCAGCATCTAGGTCAGGTTTTTGTTGTGCGTGTTCCCAATGGCTAGCAAGCAATCTTGTAGTCTACATTATTGCAGCCAAGTTCTGACCTGGCCTAACCTTGGTTTGTGAAATCCAATAAGATCACAGCACAATCTGGCATGGCTGCAAGCAATATTCAGTCACACTGATACAAAAGTCCCTGAGGAGCATAATCTGGAAGAAACAACAAAGAAGCTTGCAACAAAGAGAGCCATAAAACAAAAGGACAAATGGTAGATAAATGAGGAGCAGTATTACAGTATCTGGTGTGAAGGGAAGGCCGTTACAATGAGCTGTGTTGTCAGAATTTAGTTTTGACTTAGGGTTTGAGGGGGGGCAGGTGAAGGAAAGAAAAAAAATGCATGGAAAGAAAAAGCCTGCTACCTTTTCTTTAAGCTGAAGTTTCAAAGGTTTCCTCAAGCAGCTAGAAAACAAGGTATGCAAAACCTCAAAGGTGTGAGGGTCAGATGAATCCTTCTTTTCTGAAATAACTGGCAGAGAGATCCCTGACAATAGAAAAATCTCCTACTTGAAACAGCAGACTCTGTAATGCACACTGATTCTGGTTCACAGCAATGTTATTCACCATCTTGGACCCAGGGATTGTATAACACCAGAAACCACCCCTCAATGCAAAATCTCACATGTCACACTGTTCACCTCAGAAACTTAACACTAAAAGCCAACACAAAAGAAAGCCAACTCCAGTGTACTGGTAAACAAGACATTTTGTTGACCTACACACAAACTACCTGATCACCTCTCCAAGTCCCCAGAACAACATAGGATATAAGCCAGTGTGCAGTTGGGTGGCCATATGAGGAGGACAGATGAGAGAAACAGGGAGCACAAGGATGCACAAGATGGAGAGAGAGCATGTGAACATGTTTAAAAGAGCAAGAGCATGAGAAAGGGTGCAAAAGAGTGCACATGAGAGAGAGTATGCACACGTGAGCTTGAGAAAGCATGAAAGAGCATAAGGAAATGCCACAGTAGAAGATAAGAAAGTCATTTGAAATGAAGGATCTATTTCCCCCTTTGGCCCTGGAACTATCTGTCACCCTGGCAAATTTTTTGCTTTGCTTTTCTTCTTGTTTATTATAGCTTAGAAATCTGATGGAGTTTGTGCTGCAAAATGGTAAGTGTTGGCTCCATGTTAGATGCATGAGCAATGCAAAACACAACTGGAAGCTGATTTTGGCCAAAGCAAACTTTGAACATAGACGCCAATAGTGTAAGTGCTTCAGGGATCAGTGAAACAAGGTGATCAATCAATAACAGAATGAAATACAGATATGTGTCCACTATGCTTCATGTAGTTTTCTTAACTGACACCTTGCCTGGCTTCCTTGGTAGCAAGGACAAACACATTGAGGGCAAAATCTGAGCAGCCCCATTTAATCCTGTCAAGCAAGAACAGGGAAGTTTATCAGGCTAAATATTACCTTTCTTCCTGAGTATAACAATCTCTTCCTGACGTGAAATCCCAAACCACAGGGTTGAATGCTGAATAGTTCCTGAAAGGCTACTTGAAACAAGAACACTTCAACTGGGGATAGTAGTAAATAAAAGTAAAAAAAAAAAAAAAAAAAAAAAGAAGTAACAAATTTCCTAACCTCAAATCCTGGCAAGCACTAAGCAAATATTTCCCTTTTTTCCACATTTAATGTCCTTTAATTTTAGAAATGCTACATATACACATCTCTGTGGTCCGCATCAGTCCCGGCTGATCACGAGACCATCATGACACTGCTGAGCTTTACAGGTCCATGCATCCCTATATCCTCAGGGACCAAGGAAAGCACATTCCCATCAGAACATTTGATTGCAGGTTCAGTGCTGATTCAAAGAGAGAACATACTTGAAACAGAATCTAATAACCAAATCCAAAATTTGCACCCCCTCTATGAGCACCTATGACCCCTGTGATTTACTGTTTCGAGCCTCAAGTTTTAAACAGTTTGGTTTTTTCTCCAGTATTTTTGTATGCATTTATTTTAAGAGCTCAGAAAATGTTTTCAACAGCTTTTCAATCACATGTTAATTTCTAGCTCTATTTCTCAAATTAAAACATCAGGAGATGACACCCAACTATCAAAGCACATTCAATGTGAAATACATATATTTTTTTTGTCTACAGGACAAATACATAAAATAGATTATTTGTGTTCTGTGCTCTGTGCTTAGAAAACACATCATACTGAATACAAGTCACTGAGAGTAATTTTTTTGTAAAGTGACCCCCCTCAACTGTATTCCTAATTTAAAAGCCCAAAGCCCCTATTTCAGAGGTTCTGACACCCATCTCCCTCCTGCCGAGTACAAGGCCTCCAAGAAGAGGGGCCAAAGAGACTTGACCTTCTGCTCACTGAGGTAAATGGAAAGTTTCCCACTATGTCAGTAGTAAGTTAGGTCAAGGAACATTTGTCAGATGTGGTGTCACTGAAAATTAGGACACATTTCTCAAAATTTTGGCTACAGTTTACACGCACTTCAGTTTCTTCATGTTCAAGGTGACCTGCTTAGATCAGCAAAATGTGTCAAAGCTTCAGTCATTAGTTCTGCAGAATGCCTAACTAACGTTACTATTCTCCTTGCTGAAGTCACTAGTGCATTGCTTTGTGCCTTCATAATCTGGAATACTCAGTGGACTGATAAAAAGCTTGCTACTATTCCTTTCAATACATATCTAGGGCCTCCCAAATAGCAGAAC